TAAACATACAAACATACAAACAAACGAACGAACAAAATACAAACTTACAAGCAAACAAATAAGCAAACGAACAAGTAATTTTAGCACACGTATAAATTTATACACACGAAATAAACCAGGCAAAATTTAAAAAAAACATAAAATGAAAATAAACACAATTTAAACAAAAAAACGAAATAAAAAATAAATGAAATTGTAAACTAGGCATAAACAAAAACCTAAACAAAAATAAAGGCAAAACATAAACACAACGTAAACAGTACTTAAACGTATACTGCCAATATAAAAAAAAACATGAAAAAATAGGAGAAACAAAACAAAGCAAAAAAATAAACAAAACACAAACAGAACTTAAACAAAACTGTATTTTTATGATGTGTGTGTCGAAATTCAATGGTATGAAAAGATGCATGTGCAAGTAGTCGTAGAGAGAGTAGCAGCAGTATTAGAACTAGTATTGCTGAAAAAAGAAGTATCAGTAGTAGTTAGTGCCGAAGTAGCAACAGTAGTAGTAGTAGTAGTAGTAGTAGTAGTAGTAGTAGTAGTAGCAGTAGTAGCAGCAGCAGCAGTAGTGGTGGTAGTAGTAGGTGGTTGGAGTAAGTTGTGAGTTGTCATTTGCAACTGCAATGTCCCAATCGAAGTTATTGACGGCATCTTGTACGTGCTAGGAATATCAGCATAAAGATGATGAAGATGAGGAAGATGAAGACGATGATGATGATAAAGATGATGATGAAGACGGTGGTGAAGATGATGATAAAGATGATGATAAAGATGAAGTAAATGGTGAAGATGAGGATATGGATGAAGATGATGAGGCTGAAAATGAGGTAGGAGATGATGATGAAGATGGCTATAATGATGATGATAAAAATGAGATGACAACGACGACGATGATGATGATGATAGCTACAACTACAAAAACAACAATAATGGTGGAGTTGGGTCAGCTGATTAGAGCGGCTAAAATGAATTTGATGTCCAACTATTTCCTGTGACAGTTCTGTAGATGTTAGTTTCTAAACTGCATCCATTGCAGCTGATGCTATCACTGGTGAGGTTACGTTGTGTTAATGTCATTATTGTTCCTGCTGTTGTTGATGTTAGCAATGAGATTGTATTGTTAATGATGTTGATGTTATTGTTTTCTGGTATTAGTAATGCTAATATTTTTTCATTGTAAAGAATTTTAGTACAGTTGTTAGAAATAGTAGTGTAATGTAGAAGTGTAGTAGTAGTAGTAGTAGTCGTAGTAGTAATAGTAGTAGTAGTCGTAGTAATAGTAGTTGTAGAAGCAATAGTAGTAGTAGTAGTAGTAGTAGTGGTGGTAGTAGTAGTAGTAGTAGTAGTAGTAGTAGTAGTAGTAGTAGAAGCAATAGTAGTAGTAGTAGCAGTAGTAGTAGTAGTAGTAGTTTAAGTTGTCGTTGTTGTAATAGCTGATGTTTGTCAAATCGACACATTATTGGGTGAGCATTGATTAGAAGGCTGCAAATAATTATGTAGTGAGCTGATGCAAGAAAAGTAGATGTAAAGTTTTGTAAAGTATAGTAAAGTAAAGGAATTAAAGTAAAGGATGTAAAGTAAAAGTTTTGATAAAGATTCAAAAATAATACTACTAATAATAATACTACTAATAATAATAACAACAATAATGATATTCTTAATAATAATACAATAATAATAGTCTTAATAGTAGATTATAGAACTGACAACAGTGTTAACATTAACATCAGCAACAATATCAGCTAACCAAAAGTAAACAGGTAAGAGAACGTTTGACAATGATATTAGTAATAACGTAACTGGATGGTTGATTTGTTGGTTGATTTGAATGATAGATTGAATGAATGATTGATTGATTGAAGGCTGAATGAATGAATGAATGAATGAATGATTGATTGATTGATTGAATGATTGAATGAATGAAGGATTGATTGATTGAATGGTTGAATGAATTATATGAAATCGAAGGAATATCGCTTGCCCAGATGAAGAAAGATTTATTCGTGTGATTGATCTATAACTCGAATGGTAAGCTAAAAGAACAAAAAAATAGGAAAAAAAAAACGGGTCAAAAAATGAATGAATGAATGAATGAATGATTGATTGACTGATTGCTTGAATGATTGTTTGATTGACTTATTGATTGATTGATTTGATTGATTGATTGTTGATCAGCTGATTGATTGATTGATTGTTTAATTGAGTGAATGGTTGATTTAATATTTGAAGCGCCATTGTTCACCAAAGAAGAGAATGACGCCATGCACACGTACACACACACGTACACACACACACACACACACAAACCCGCATATACAAACAAACACACAATGCAAATGTTGACGTTTTATTTTTCTCATGGGGACCGCATGCAGTTTATTGCTTTGATGTGCCGCGTTTGTGTTAAATGATATGACCAGGCAGGACATTTCAACCATCACCCGAATGATGAAGAACATGATGGTGAAGAAGATGATGAAGATGATGATGATGGTGAAGATGATGAAGATGATAAAGATGATGATGGTGAAGATGATGAAGATGATGATGGTGAGGATGTGTTGATGATGACGCCTATGTTTATGATGATGATGATAACGACAACGATGGTGATGACGATGATGAAGATGACGACAATGATGACGATGGTGATGATGATGAAGAAGATGACGACGATGATGATGATGATGACGATGATAATGATGATGATGATGAGGCAAAAGTCGATGAGCTTATTAGCGCGAGGATCATAAAAGTAGCAGATAAATTGTACAAACGACCAATAAAAAGTCACGTGATAGTCCGGGAATCAATGTGAGAGTGAGGTGGGTAGGATGATGATGATGATGATGGTGGTGGTGGGGGTAACGATGATGAAGATAGAGGTGAT